CCCCCCCCTCCTCCCCCCCCCCCCCCCCCTCTCTCTCTACCTCTCTCTCTCTTTCTCTTTCGCGCACGAGCGCGCGAGCGGTCTTTCCCTCGCTTGCTCACAGCCCGGCCAACTCGCTCCTTCCTTTATCTTATCAAAGCCCCGTAATTACAATTGCTATTTTGTTTCCTTGAATGTGCAATCAGAGCTCCCTGACCCTGAATAGGGAGCGCCTGTCAACCTGATCGCTGAGTGACAGCCCGGCCACCTTTCCCGGAGGCCCTCACACTCTGCAAACACAAATACGCACACACGCACACACACACTCCCTCGTCTTTTGCAAACACAAACACACACTCCTCGCCAACACAAACAGCCCCTCTCCTCAGACACGCCCTCGAGGGGACCCAAACACACATCTTCAGCCTCTTTCCAAACGCATCCCTCGCCCCCCCGACCAACCCAGGGCTGCTCAAATCCACACCATCCGGCGCAGGCCTCCAGGACTGCGGTTCGTTCCAGCGCGCGCCTCCTGCACCCGGCGTTCAAAGCGCCGCGAACTCTCCGCCAATAGCTCAAATGCAAATCGCCGAGGCAGTTTTAAGCACCTCGGGCCCCAGTCTGGGAATCGTTCCCGTTCGTCCCCCAAATATACTCATGCCCCTCCTCCAGCGGTCTGCAAACCCCTTCCTTAATAAGCCTTCGGCCCTCATCGCTCAGAGGTCAAAGTGAATTGGCAGCGCTCCTACTGTGCGCTGACAGCGCAGAAATGGGCATCGGGGAGAGACAGGGGCAGGGAAGGAGCAAAACAATTCCTAGCTCTGTCCGCGCGGCGCCCCATCGAGCCAGGAAACTCCTGGCGAAGAGGCAGATTAGGATTGGGTCCCACTGAGGGCAGGAGCGCCCTCGGCGCCGGACAAGGCAGCAGGGTGGCCCTCCAAAACAGTCAAGGCACACAAAGAGCGATCCGCGACCTCGCGCGGGGGGCCACGCGCCGTGGTCAATGGGTTAGCTGGGGAGGCTTCCCGCAAAAGATTACTGTTGGCTGCATTCAGGCTGTCTCCGGTGCCTCCAACCCACCACGTGTCAAAGACTTTTGAGGCTATAGGCGAGAAGAGGAAGGGAAGGGCTCTAATAGGAGCACGTTCCGTGAATGAATGAACGAACGAAGTCAGCCGTTGTGACTAATTCCCTAGCTTTCCACCTCAACTTCGGCCGCCCAGAAGCCTGGAGCCCCTAGTGCAGTGGCATGGGGAGGCGCATGGTCTCAGGCGGCTTCAACCTCGCCCACTAGAGGGCACCAACTCCACCTTCCCCCTCCCTTCTCATCCCTTGCCTTGGGTAGGTGAATGGCCCCATGCCTGGCTGTCCCCTCTATCGCAGTTCCAGGTGGGAACAGGTCCAGAAAGTCTTCCTGAAGAGGAGAAAGGGGCCTGGGACCCTGATCACTGCAACACAGAGGATTGTTTTTCTTCATCCTCAACTTGAGGAAAAAGGGAGCTTAAAAATTGGACCTCTCACACCACAGCGAGGAGGGAACTTTCTATAAAGATGTGTTGAAGAGTTAGTGCTTTTCAGTGTTGTGGGGGCACTCTCCCCATAGTTTTTACTCACCTGCCCCAATACTAGCTAGCCCCTTAATATTATATAGGAACCTTTCCCACTTGTTCACCCATTTGCACAGCAGTGGGTGTGGGAGGGAATGGGCCTGGCCCCACTGGGTACTATCCTCTGTCCATCTTCAGTATGTCTGGCCCCAGGCTGTCTCAGGAGGTAACCTTTTGTTTGTTTGTTTGTTTGTTTGTTTGTGGTCATTGAGGCAAGCCATCAACACAGCTGCTGAACTGCTGACCCTGGAATTGGTCACATACACACTTATCCTCAAATCAGACAACATCCCTTTCTCTTCCTGGCACAGTTAACAGCCAAGTCCCAGAACCACCTGATTCCAAGTACCAGAGACCCCCCTGACCAATAAGTGTGCTGGTAAGCAGTAACCCCTTATCCCAGGAAGCTGAATCCCAGAGGCCCCTCTCTGCCCCCATATGCCAGGCCACCCGGATTCTGGTTTCCCTGTCACCCAATCTAGCCAGCCCCCTCCATCTGGCCCCCGGAATCAGGTTTCTAAGGGGCCAGACCAGCTCAGAGCTGACCTGCAGGACTGTAAGGAGCAAAGACTGCCTCCCTCACAGGCCCTCTCATGGGGCTAGGGATGCACATTCCTTGGGCTGCTTAAGCCACCTTATCTGCCCCCCTGCCCATCAGCCTGAGTGCTGACAGAGGCCCAGACCCCTTGTTTGGATGCTGATAACCTCCTGGGAAGGCCCTCCCCCACCTGTAGGGACTGGGAATAGGGTTGGTGTTGGGAGGTCCTCTTCTAGCGAGGCAGCTGGGGCCCAAGCCTGGCTTGGCCCTGGGAATAGTAGTATCCCACATTTCCCCACTCAACTCCAGGTCCAGGGCCACCCTCGGTGCTGCCACAGTGCCACCTGGTGGTCCCTAGGGGAATGCCACCCCAGCAGGGAAAGAAGCACAAATGAGTTGCAGAACACCTCCACACCACTTTATTTCAACCTTTATCCAAAAATGTACAAACTATTTTTTTTAAAGTGTAGTCCTGAGCTTCAGATGCTGACCTCCAGCCTCATAGGTAAGTGGGGAAAAAGGAACAGGACAGAAGTACAGAGTTCCTCTTACTCCCAGAGAAAAGGGAAGCCCCAGGCATGGTATAGGATTAGAAGACTACCAGGGCTCTATGGAGAATGGGATTCCCTCTCTCCTAGCACCAGGCCAAGACTCTCATCCCACTCCATCCCAACCCTCCTCTTCAATGGAGAAAACACACTTAAAATTCTTGAAACTTGTACAGGAACATGGTTCATGGCACATGTGGAAGGCAGCTAGCTGACCTGAGGAGAGCAAACAAAGGATCAGCATCTGGGCTGTCACCTGCTCCTCCTGTCTCCTTCCAGGCCCTGCTGGGCACCCCTCCCCCTACTCACCAAGGAGGACTAGGGTCTGCCCCCTTGCTTCTTGGCAGGCATGATAGGACACAACTCAGCTTCCTCCTCCTCACTCCCCTCTTCTTCCTCAGAAACATCATTGCTTGTAGTAACTAGTGAACACACAAGCAGTAAAGGAGGGGAGAAAAGATTAAATCAAACCACCTTCACACCACATATTTATTCATGGTCTCTGATGCTAGGCTTTCAGGGACCCTAACCTCCCAGAACTTATGATCTACACGGGAAGAACCTGATACTAAACTACGTGACAAAGAGCCAGATCCTGGAGAAGCTGGGACAGGTTCCATGAAGGAAGTAAGCTTGATTAGAATATAAAGTAAAGGACACATCATGAAGGGGCTGTATGGGAACTGTAATGAGAGACAAGGCTGGGATGAGGCAGGAGTGTGGAGTAGGGGGGACACCTGATAGAGTCCACTGGAGGCAAAAGAGAGGGCTCACCAATCTGGTGCCGCCCAGTGATCCTCACAGGACCAGAACCTGACTTCAGGCGGAAGGTTACAGGCGGTTGGAGCTGGAAGTCATCCAAGCTGAGCTGGGGGGAAGACAAGAATGAAGGCTGGGACTACTGGCCTACCCCATCTTGTGCTGAATCTTGAAATTCTCGATTCCTATTTCCCAATTCCAAGGTATGGCCTGGGAACTCACCATGGGCTGGCAGGACAACTTGAGGTTGGCCACAGGGACTGCAATCTCCTGGTGGTCATGGTTCCGAGCCACAACTTCTACCACATTACACTCATCTTTGGCCCCATCGGTGAGGCAGAGCTAGGAGGGTAACAGAGGGCCTCGCCGTCTCCCCAAGCATGGGTTGACACCACAATGGAGGCATCTACCCTAGAACTGCCCAGCCTCAAGGGAGTCCCTGGATCACCTGGGCAGGGGAGCAGCCCATGCGAGGGTTAGGCAGCGTCAGTGACTCCCACTTAAGGAGGACAGGTGGGTGGACGGGTGGAGACCCAGCAATTGCCAGCTCAGGTCGAGTACTCACTACCTCTCCCCTTCCCGATCTCTCACCATGGTCAAAGCCAGCACGTGCTCCACATCCTCCTCCTCCTCTACCTTAAAAGTGAAAGAGCGGGTGTGGCCGGAGAGCTCACAACCTGGAAGAGATGAGGAGTTTGTGGGAGTGTGCGGCAGAAGCTGGTGGGGGCGGTGGGGGAGCCAGGCGGGCGGTGTTCTCCAAACCTGTTAGGTGCTGCCAGGAACTGAGCCATTTACACGGCCTTCTCAGGAACACGTAGGCGTTCGGCCCTAGGCGCCCCCGCACATCTGGGTCAGGGTTCTCGCTGCCCCTTCTCGAGCTGCCCTGTGCCAGGCCCCCTTGGCTCCCACCCAAGTCGTGCACCCACCTGCATTCTTCTTCCTCAGCCCCAGCACCACCCTCAAACCCTCTTTCCCTCAGTACCGAAGAAAAAGCTGTCCATGGTGACTGGAGCCGAGACCCGCAGACCCCCGCCGTCCCCGGCCCGAGCTCGGCTCCCCGGGCTGAGGGAGGTTGAGGATGCCGTGGTTCGGTCGGCCATGCTGCTGGCGCCGTCTGAGAGCCCCGCCCCCGACACGTAGAAAGCCGCGGACTCCCAGCCGGCCCCAGCCCCGCCTATTAAAGTAGACGCTCGCGACTCAGAAAAGGGACCTAGAGGTGACCGAACCAGGGCTGCTTCGCCCACGAGTCCGCGGCCTCTACTCAGGCTTGTGTCGAAACCCCCGAGAGTTATCATCACAGAAGCATGGATTTGGGATTAACGTCCTTGCTCATTCCATGACCAAGGCTGAATGTCTATTATCTAAGTGCCTCCCGTTCTCCCAACCCAGTGTACGCTTTCGTCAAAGGGAGAATAGATATATAAATGGTAACCTTTCTCCCCCGCAAAGGCGAGTTCAGGCCAGAGTCTCTTAGAAAATCAAATGGACTTAATTGCCCTTGCTCCAAAAGAACCCGGAGCCTGAAGCAAAGACTTTCTGCCACGGTATATTCTACTCAAGCCACTTCCTCCTCCCCTAGATATATCATATCCTTCCTGTTCTAAAGAACCCTGCAGTCCACCATCCAGATGGTGTATCTGGTTGAGCTTTAGATACTGGATCTTGCTAGCAACGGACATCAGCTCAAGTGTGGGACTGACCGCTGCTCCTAGCAGCGAAATACAAGTTTACGAATCGCCCACAAATATCCTTCCGCCTTCCGCCCTGGGCTCCTATGTTTCCCCCAGTCTTTCACCTTTAGATTAAAGAATCAGGCAAACTGTGTTCCTTATTCTATAGATGGTGAGCACTCACTCAGGTTCTGTGGTCGAGGTGCCTTGGCCAAGAACTAGTCTACTTTCCTTATCCTTTGTCTTGCCCATGAGGAAAATCTGGAGGCTTTTTACTGGAGATAGGAGTGGGGTAGGACTACCTTCAGGATCCAGTTCCTAACTTGGAACAGCTGTGAAGGGGAGGAATACTTGCTTGTAGGTGAGGCAGAAAGGGCAGGAGAAAAGGTAGGAGGCAGGAAACAAGGTAAGTAGTTTTACACAGCACAGGACAGACATTCACTTCAAGTTTTATTTTGCCTCTTGCATGGTCTTCAGATTATTTTACAATTCGTTTTCTACAGGAACCAGGCTGTGATCTAAACAATGAAATGTCATTTCAACCTTAATAAATATTCATCACAGAAGAGGGCATACATAGCACTTTATGATCCTATTGTGATGAAGGTAGAGGCCTGGACATGTTTCATAGTGAGCATCTGTGACCAGAAGACCAGCCATAGTGATTACTAAAAGCCAAGATAAAAGTCACAAGCAAACTTCCTAAAAATCCCAATTCCATAGGAGGTTGACCTTGAAAAATCTTCCAAGGAAAATGCTACAACTGTCCACTAAGTACACTAAATGTACTTACAGAGAAAACCAAGTGACATTAAGCCATTTTGAACAACTACCTTGCAGAGATCTTCCCTTCACCTCAGCTCCTGAAAACAAACTTGGTTCCAGCTTTCTAATATACCGTATCTCTATCATTAAAGGTTTCTACCCTGAAAATCAAGGGGCCTTTCTCCCCTCCCTTCTTCTCATCCATTCAGTGCACACTCACAGGCCTTGGTTGAAAGTCACTATGTGCCTCTACTTACAATGCTCTAAGACACTCAAAGCCCACACTGGTGGAACTCTACAAAGGAAAATATGTTTCAAGTTTCCCTCTCCTTGCCCTTCCTGTCTCAGCTCACTGTTAAACAGCTGATACAAAACTGCAGGGTAACAACAAAATACTGTCTGATTCTATTAAGAAGTCAGTCAACCATGATTTGAAAAAGTGAATCCTGTAAAGATTACCTGCTAGCCTCATGCTCAGAACCCTTAAAAACACAAAATCTAAATTAAAATACACGAAGCTTTCAGAATCTGTGGTTAAAGGGAAAAAAAGGATAACCGTACGTCATTGGTTAAAGTGTGCTCTTTCTTTTAAAAATTAGATACAAACATGCAAGAATTAAAGACTGATTCAATAAAACCAGTACTAACAGGTCTTGATTAAAGACAGGAGGACATCTGATCTGAGGACAAATGGGACCCAGTCCCTGAGCCCTGACAGATGTCAAAACTAAAATTTCACATGCTGACCTGCATTGAGGTTAATTTCCAGAGGTGAGTGCACTTTGCAACAGAGTCCTATATGAAGTTAGGCTCTCATACCCAAAGTGGTCATGGCCTAGCTTAAGTGGGAGGAACTTTAAAAGTAATAGAAGTTCTGAAAAAAAAAAAAAAAAA